CGGTTTAGCTGATGCCCAATGATCAACACTGATGAGCGCTCTCTGTGATCAAAGAGGCTGATGCTTAATGATCGACACAAGCGAATAACACAAAATATGGTAACACTAACAATATGGTATTAACAACTCAACACATTGCAACACAAAATATCACTGCACAACAGCACTGCACTCATCACAACATATCACTATACAACACATTATAACACACCCTAACATGACATTACATTATAACATAACATATTATAACAAACAATATCATAGCACAACATATTATAACACAACATAATGTAACAACATTACATAACTCAATGCATTGTAACACAACATAACATAAATAACATAGCATGACACATTGTAATGACATGACACAATACATTATAACATAACTAATCATTGTAATATACATCGTAACATAAAATATATACATCGTAACATATACACTATACATCATAACATAAAATAGAACAACGAAACAAATTATACTGCAACATATTCTAAAAAAAACCATTATAAGACATCATAACTCAACCCAGCACATTATAGCACATCATAATATAGCATCAAAAATTATAACACAATCAAACATGATACAACACATTGTAACACTGTTACCGTGTGTCTCTAGCGGGTGAGACAAACTCGTTGTCTGCTTATGAATTTAGAGGTAACTATCTAAGTGAAAGGATAATGAAACACTTTCTCTATAAAATTAATTAAGGGATCTTGTACAAAATTAATCAACACAAGTGACTGAAGTAGCAAAACAAAAACAAACTATGGATAAAGAATAAAAGTGGTGTGTGGATCATGAGTGGTTATGCTAAAAGTGAACTAGAAACTAAGGCTTTAGAGCATGGGCAGGCGGAGGTGGTTCGTGTGCCAGTTAACTGAAAAGCATAACTAAAATTAATTGATGAAAATTAAATTGGCAACACTCATGATAAGACTTTGGAACATGAGAACTATTTTAAGGTAATTTAACCACTCATGGCCATCATGCCAATTAAAACAATAAACATGCTTGAAGCATTAATTAGTGGAACAGAAAACGGAATCATAGTTAATGAAGGTACAGTGAACAAATCAAGATTTCAATGTTACAACTTTGAACTTAATGACTGTAGATAATTAACTGAACAAATAATATAACTTTACTAAATATGTTAATGAATCATATCGGCACTTTAGAAAAGCATCACAAACATGGGATCGTATGGTACGTCGGGACAAGCCAGATCACCCAGATGCAGACGTACGTCAAGACAAGCCAGATGCGGACGTACGGTACGTCGGGACAAGCCAGATCACCCAGATGCGGATGTATGCTAAGACAAGCCAGATGCGGACGTACGGTATGTCGGGACAAGCCAGATCACCCAGATGCAGACGAACGTCAAGACAAGCCAGATGCGGACGTACACTGGGCATGTGCGCCAATAACGTTATTTTAGCTCTTTGCACGCCGTGTTGTACGCCAGTAGAAGGGCTTGGAGCCTCGTTTACGCCAGATTAATCCGCGGAAAACGGCACCATCCTGGGTATGGTAAGGCTGTAGCAGTGTAGGAGTAAGGAGGGTAGCACAGGCATGGAATATATCTACTTGGCTAAATTTGTTGAGTCGTGGTTTTATAGATTTGCCAGCCTTTATTCCATTTCTTCAAGCTGTGATTTAATTTTATTTGAGCCAACAGCCATGAATTCAGGAATTCTATACCTCTGCAATCAAAAGCCCTTTATGAGCCAGCAGCAGCAGCAAACCTTTTACCAAGACTCCCAGGCCCTAGCTAATCTCTAATTTTACCCTAAAAACAGTCAACAGTCAACACTAACATTTGTCTTCACTTAAGTGGTGACTGATCACGTGATATTTGATAATTCTGACCTCTCTGACATTACCCAACTATGCAATCTTTAAGGAAATGTTTTAGATTGACTTGTTGTAATTATGTTGTGCAGTATATTTTGGCTGGATTGTCAAAGTATTGCAGATTGTGGAAGTTGAATTTTATGAAACGACATGTTTGCAGAGAGCGAAACGCAATTTTTTTCAATCAAACAAAAATACATGACATTAGAGCCGCAAGATTTCATACCTACTGAAATTATATGATATTAGAGCTGCGATATTTCAGAAAAAATAGGACTTTCCCAGCCCTGGTGTAGCAGGAAGCAAGTTGGTGGTGAGAAGCAATACCTCTAAAAAATTCCTGTAAAAAGTGTGAAAAGTGAGATTTTGGAAAAGTACATCTGCTAAAGTCTGTAGCAAAAAAAATAATGTTTGCCATATTAAAAAATTTTACTTGCACAAAAGTTGCACCCATGTGTTGGCTTAAAAACTTGATTGATGGGATTAATGTATCTCATTAAAAAATGGTGGCCTTTTCTGCAAGACAGGGTATTAAGGGACACTTCCCCTGGGGTAACAATTGACACCCCTAAAAAGGCATTTACAGTAGAACCTTGATTAGCAAATGCTTCAGTTAACAAAAAAAAATCAATTGACAATCAAAAATTTTGATTCCATTTACCTTGCTCAGCAAAAAAATTTCACCTAAAAAATTAAGGCATCATCAGTCATCCCAAAATTATGCATAGAATGTCATGGATAGAATTGTGCACCAGACAACATAGAATGAAAAGTAATTACCTAAACTATGATTTATTTCTCCAAAAAATATGATGGTTGTCATTAAAATATTCCTTTCTGTTTCAGGTATGTTTTTTACGATTTTTTTTGTAATAGTGAATTCACCTGACCCAATTAAAATGGTGTAAACTAACATGCTGTCCTGCAAGGTTAGAGATACAGATAAAGTGCTATAGAGCTGCTGATATGAAGCATGCAGTGGACAAGGTTGTTGTAAATTATCAATGGCATGTTCATGGTTATGGTAATATCCAACATCCTTTGGTGTGGATCCTCTGCTCCCCTCTCCTCCTTTGGAGCCACTGCCTTTGCAGGGGCACTGCCGAGCAGCAGTTCTGGACAACTAACAACAACAACAGTAATATGACATCAATAATAAGGTAATGTATGGATATGTTAATATCATATCAATGAAGGAAAAACAAGTAAAAATCACAGAAAATGTTATTTATTCTACATCTACATCATCTACAAAGGCAGTAAAGGACTTCAGAGGACTGTTAGTAATGAAGGAGTACACTCTGCATGCTTCAAATAATTTAAAATTGAGTTTTATTTCAAATGTTCTGGATTACCCCATTCCCAGGGGTAATTCAGGACACTTATTTTGCATCTGGCACCTTGCAAATAGCATATGGAATTTATTGAAGATGTCATATGATAGCCCTCACAAAGAACTTTAAAAGGAGCCCAAACTTGTTTTTGAAATGTTTCATGGCAAGAAGTTATTACTAAAAAATGCTCAAAACCATCCCTTATTACCCAGTTTGATGGTATGTAATACTCTATGCTACTTTTATTTCTATGCCGTGTGATCACCTATTTCTATGCCATGTGATCACCTATTTCTATGCCGTGTGATCCCCTTTTTCTATGCCGTGTGATCCCCTTTTTCTATGCCGTGTGATCACCTATTTCTATGCCGTGTGATCACCTATTTCTATGCCGTGTGATCACCTATTTCTATGCCGTGTGATCACTTATGCTTGAAAAGGACAAAAAATTAGTTGAGACTGTTAAAAAATGTGCAACAAGGATAATTCCAAGCTTAAAGGGCAAGTTTTATGCAGACAGAGTGAAGATTATGAAGCTTCCAAGCCTCTTTTATTAATGTTGTTGTTGTGACCTTATTGAAGTATACAGGTATGCTCATGGTTTATATAAGGTCCCAGAAGTATTACTAGAATTTGAATATAAAAGAATCAAGTAAATGCTCAATTCAAATGTAATGTTTCATGGGACAGTGATGGTGGTGTGTAGCAACTTGTATCATTGTTAGGTATATTGTGTTAGGCACTTGGGCAGTAAACATTATGATGCAATAGGCATGAAACAAGGTCTCGGAAGGATTACTAGAATTTGAAACAAGAACCTACACCAGGTGCCACTGTTATAAGCTAAAAAAACTGTTGTGCCATTCATCCATGCAACAACATTTCTTCTTGCTTTGAGTCACCAAAATGTGGAACAGCCTCTCCCTGATGATATTGTTGACACTCTTGAGTATGAATGTGTTCAAGAATAAACTGTACTATGCAAAAGTATATGCTCAGTCTCAAAATGCCCAGCATCCTATGGAACTAGACTAGTAAATGTCCAGTGATGATGTAAATCAACCTCAGTTGAAAAGTTCTTGTAAAAAAAAAACAGAACAAGTCACAAAAAGTACAAGAATCAGCTGCAGGCCTAAACAGGTCAATTTCTCCAATGCCAAAGATGCTATGTGATGCTATGCTATGTAAGTTTTTGTGATGGGATAAAATCAATTGTTGCTTTATTAGCTTAGCACATATGGAAGGTTGCTAAGAACACAATGCTGTATGAGCCCTATATGCAGTACCATACCTTATTTAGTTCTGTGGTTAGATGTAAATTTTCCTCCCAAGGCCTAGTTGATGCTGAGGCCTAGTGGATGCAAACATGTGTATGCTGAGGCTCTATGCAAGTATGACAATTTAGCTCCCAGGCTTAGAAGAAATTTTTAGGCTCTTCCTGTTTGAGTTCCATGAGTATGTAAATCCATTTTCACAGGTAACTATAGCTCCAGTGCTTGCCTACTGCTCACAGGAGAAGAGGGGAGGTTGCTGGGGATGGCAATTTAGGGATGATGCCCTTCTGTTGCATGGCATTCTTCTTGTTATAGTGACCCTTAAAGTATGTTCAGAACAAGCTGCATTCCATTCCTGTTCCAGTGCAAACATCTTCATTCCCATCCATATAGCTCTGTAAGATTGGAATTTTTCTACTCATGAATGAATTCTAGCAGCTGCTAAGTGAAATTTTTTTATACATGTGTATCTTGTGGCCCGATTGTGCACTTTTGGACCAAGATATTTCACACATGACCAATGGTTCAAGATTGGCTCTTGCCTTAGGGGCATAGCAGTAGTGGTTGAATGCATGTTACTCCACTACCAAATTGTATCATCACAGAAAAAAATTTCATGACCTATTTTCCTTGCATTTAAAAAACAAATTTTTTTTACAGAAACCCTCAACAGTCCACACCAAATGTCAAAAAATGAATTTGATTTCATCTACAAGACTTTTAACTGTTATGCACAAAACAAGGGGTTGGAAATCCATTTGTTCAATATTGACTGGTATAATGCAATTGTTGGGCCAAAATTTTTCTTGAATTATCCTGCTAACACTTTGGCTTGTTTGGTGATCAGTCAGCCTTCTATGTTTGAGAAAGCTTTCATTCCTTTCATCAAAAATCATTGGCCTTCGGAAGATAAATTTTCTCTTGAATTAGAAGACAAGGAAAATGAACCAATCAAATCAAATTCCTTTCCTGATCCTCTTGATACATGTATGAAATTAGTTTTCAATGATATGGCTAAGCTTCTGCCAGATCATGAGATGGATATTATTCATGATTTTGACATGACATACATGAGACGTCCGAAAATCCTCATGCAGACTGCAGGGCATGTAGCTGGCGCTGTCTACATGTATAGGAAGGAAGATTTATACACTACGGCTCAGAGAACTGATCCTGCTGGTGAGAAACTTGGGTTATGCATGTCTGCATAAGAGTAAAGATTTGCATGATTCTTCTGACTTTCAAAAAGATCATAACCATCATAACAATATGGTTACACCCATGAATTTTTTAAATACTTGATCTTTGCTTGTTCAGGCTTGATGCTTAGGGATGTATTCATGCTTAAAAAATGTTGAAGAGATGCTGGTTTCCAAGTTTGACCTGAAATATCTGCTGATTTGATGCTCCAACTCTCAGGATTTCTTTTTTACTATTAATGAAACTTTTCAGTACCAGGCATTCATCTCTTATCTTTTATTTAAAACAAAGTGTGATAACAAATTTAGCCTTTATGGTTGATTCTTTTATCTCTGGAGTATCAATTTTGTTTCAGCAAATTCACCTGAACAAGTTGAAGATTCCTGGATGGAAGGCAAGAAAATTTTTCCAGTGTGTTTACATCCACAATATGGTGGTTGGTTTGCCCTTCGTGGTGTTATAATCTTCAAAGGAATCTCTTGTGTCTCTCTTGAGAAGCCTGTGCCTAGGTAAGTACAATAGCTGTTGTAGCCTTTCATCTCTTAATTAAAATGTTATAGCATCTGTTCTTTTTCAATAGTGTTAAAATTTTATTTAAATTTTTCAGTTAAAATAGGGTTTATTTTATTTCATCACATATTCTTATTGTAGCTTAATGTTTACTGTATGTACTTCAATGACCTTGTATAAACCATGAGTATACTTGTGTACTACTTCAATAAGATCACCACCCCTTCATCAATAATACATTTACTGTATGTGCACCTAGGTATACCTATGTTTCATCAATTGCCAGGTGAATTGAGCTTGTTAGATCAAAATTTATTGCCCATAAGTGATCATTATTAAATCTTTTTAGATCTTTATTTTTTTAATCATTGATGCATTTTGAATTAAAATGCTTCATTCTTATAACACCCTCAATTAACTTAGAGAATTTAAGAAAATCCAACTATGGGTTGGTAAAAAAATAAATCTTTCATCCTCTCACCTGTGCTTATGCAGGTTGCTTTAGAAGTCTCTCCTTCACTGAACCTTTCTTATAAATTCTTTTTTTCTTATTCCTGTTTTAGAGAAATTCTACAATCAAAAGAGCAGATAAAGGAGCTTCTGGAGCTCTACAATCATCACTGGAAGAACAATGCCTTCCGTGATGTTATTACTGCTACAGAAAAATATTCAACACTCCAGCAAAAATATTTTTCTACACCTCCTGCAGACAGAGTACAATTTCTCAAGTGTATCATTAATGAATGTTGATGTATTTGTAAAGCCCCGTGTGAGTACAAACCTGCTGGAAGGATGTGCAGAAAAAATTCTCATCTATATAGGGGTACTTATGCTTCTAGGATATGCAACCTAACTTCAATGCTTATGATGGATGAATCATCAATTCCTAACATTCTAGTTGTAAATGTAATCAATATTTAATATTTTTTTTGGAAAAATACTATACAAAACTTCTCGACTCTTGGTTATGAATTATTTTTATGATTGAACAAAAAATTGAACAAAAAAAAAGAGAAAACATTTATGTTGGCTATTGCTGTTTTTGTTGTAATGGGCAAAGTCAACAACCTATAAATTTGTGATAATAGAATTTTCTTTGATTAATAGCATGTATAAGAGCAACCTGGACTGGTCATTTGTCTGGACTATAGTGAGCAGGAGACTTTTTTAACTTAGAAATTACTCCAATGGCATTTTGTTAATCGTCAGATTCTTCAGTGAATCTGCCCACTATTATTACTGTCAAATACTGGTAGTCGCTGATGTACTCCTGCCCTAACAGTCATGAGTTAGCGTGCTAGTAATGCAAACATTAGTTTATTTTGCAATATTAGCTTGGAATGATAACCAATATCAATAGTTTGACACAAAAGGTAACAATTGCCACTGTAATCATTAAAAAATTTCCAATAATTGAGCAGTAAAATCACTTTATTTGAAGTAATATTGGCTCATATGAAGAATGCTTGACAGTTCAAGCCTCAGTCATGGGCACAAATTAGAAAGTGAGAGTATAGTGAAGCTGTTGCAAGTAGATGAAAATAAATCATTAATTTAGTGTTTTAAACTAGTTAGGTGGTGTTCATAGTTAGATGTGTTTGCAGTTATTGTAAAATGTATAGTATATAGTTGTTGCATAACTCAATGTGTGTTGGGAGTTTCATAATGCTAATTGATTTAATTGTAATTATGTCTTGAACTTTTATTTGTTTGCAACTTCATGGTAGCTTCAATGACTTGGAAGTACAAAAAAAATTTAAGATTTAGTAATATGTTGAAATAGGATTTAGTGATGCTGATAGTGTATATATAATCCATTTGTGTCCTGATAACTTGGGACAAAGGTGTTTGTTGATTGAAAAATGATAGCATTTTTGTTGGACATGCATATGTATTTGCAATATTGTTATGCATTTCTTTGTGAATTATATTGTTCTGTTGAATTCCTGGAATAATTTCTGTCATTCCTTATAAATAACTTTTAAAACAACATTTGAATACAAGTTTCTTAAAGATGTGAAACAATTGGACAAAAAATTCAATACCTTTAATCATCTTACCTAAGGTTTCCTCTACATTGGTGAACTAAAAATTTAATCTCTTCTTACAAGAAAATTTCATGTATTGTTGCTGAAATACTCATTCCATTCACTGTAGGTATACCATCAGTTGAGATCATGATGCACTGCCTTTTTTTAGTGATGATAAGAAAGAAGCAATTGTCAGGGCATTGCTGAAGAAAATTTTCCATAAGATCTTTCCACACCAAATCAGATTTTTCAAATTTATTTAACATTTTTTCTTGCACATTAGGTAACTGCAGTCACCATTTTACTGACCATTTTTTAATAGGGGTTCCTAGCTGCTGCAGTAATTACTTGGACTGAATTTAGCCACTGCAATGCTTCACAAAGTCTTTTTCAGCTTGATGGTACAAGTGTGGCAAAGGAGCTGCCAGATTGGCTAAGGGTCTTAATGAATTTCTCATGAATAGTGAATGGCAGTCAAAACAAGATCAAAAGTTTTTGCCAGCAGATTTCTTAAAGAAGCAACTGATCCTTATTCTGTAATTACAACTAATGACATTCACCTTTAGACACCCACAGGTTAAATTCCATGGCATTCATAGACCTTCAGCATCAGGAATGCTGTGTGTGAAAAAAAGGAAATGAAGGTTGTGTGAAATATCACATCTGTCAGTTACTGTGCGACCATCCCCTTCAATTGTTATGTCTTTGCATTACAAGTAATTTTATCCATTCACTTGGAAGAAAAAGGTAAATACAAGCAAAAATTAGAAATTTCATTGCTAAGCAAAGCACTTGATTTTGTGAATTTTGTTTTTGTTTCAATGAATAACTCTCAATAACTCTTGCTCTCAATAAACCAAAAAAATCTGAGTCATTCTGTATCAAATTTCCTCAATGAGATGGTTTGCTATATGAAATTCTAATAAAATTTCAAAGGTCACCCTTTTATGGTGCTATAAGTATATAATTATTGGCCTCTACATCAGCTTCTAGCAATTCACCCCTATAAACTTAGTCTCTGATTTAACTGCACTAATTAGGCCTACAAGACATTTTTTTATCATAATAGCTTTCTGTTCTATTTTATAAAAAGAAAAGCATTTTGGGTATATATACTATAATTTTAAGTATTCTGGACAACACTATTATCATACAAAATACATGTATATATGGCTCTCTTGTAGGTCACTATATAAATTGTCACTCCAGGGGTATGTTGCCACACAGTGCAACATATAAGGGCACTGCACTCCCTGACTCCCTAGCTGTGATGTCCAATACTTTTGTGCACATAAATTCGGATTAAAGGCATGCAGAAGACTGTGCCCTCTGAATTTGTATTTTTAGTTACTCCCCAGGATGATCATCTGAGGAGACTTTTTCTCGAATTTAACTCAAATTTCTGTATTTGCTTGTACATTCATTCACCAAAGTTCATTCAATGATGTAGACATTTATTTTAGTTTTTGTTATATGTATATAGTAAGTATACAGTATCTGATTACCACATGGTCTAACTTGAGTTTGAATGATTATTTTGTTGTGTTTTGGTCTTCAAGGTTTAATTTACTCTCAAAAAGAGAGTTCCTATTATTTAAGCTGTGCAAGAAGTCATTGTTGATTCATTGCAGTAATTTTGAATTCCTTCAACCATTTTTTTTTGCACTAGATCGTTTTGGCTGCCTAGAATACTGTCATGATCTCATTGTTTTAAAAGTTTTAAACTAAACAGGCAAAACAAACTCATTCTGTTTTTTTATTGAGTGGTAAGCATAAGGATTAAAGTTAATGAAACAATTATTCTATGATGTTATCAAATTTCATCTTATTTAACAATTAAATCTAAAACTGGATAGTTATGGAAATGAATTCCGTATGGAAATTAGTATCTTTAGAGTGTAAGTAGGCTGATTATGCATTAACATTACAAACTTGTAACAGGGGCTGGTGGTATAAAAACTAGTGAACTGGAACAGCCCAATTGAAGTTCATATAGGTATTGATGTTGAAACATGTGGACTTCAGGTCATATGATGATGTTAGGTGATGAATAAACATTTGTTTGTTACCATGCTGCCTATGATGATTCAAAACGTAATTTGAAACATTCAGTAATGAAAGTTTCAACCAGAAATATTTCAAGGAGTATCAAGTGAACTTGATCAAATTAAAAAGTCAAAGTAAATCATTGAACCTTTCAAAATAAAGCAAAATAGGTATGTAATAAAACTGAAAAGCTTCAATGTGTTATTGAAGAAACAGAAAATTTGAAAATGCACTGCATTGAACCATGAATAAATGAATTTAATTTGATTATGGCTAAATGGACTGTGCCTCAAACTGCCAGGATTATGTCACCCTGTAGTATCACACTGAAATCTCTCTAACTAATGTTCATGTTAAATTAAGTGCAGTTGAAAATCTTTAAAAATCCCTGCCTTCACTAACTATGCACACTCAGGTCAAAGAAAGGAATGGAAAACAAATAAATATTGATTATATCCTGCCTTATTACTCAACAATCTAATTTTGTCAATTTCACTGAATTTTTTATTCAAAGTTTGGATACATACATCAACATGAAAATAATTACTTCAATAGTCCTTTGCGTTCTAGATTTTTTGAATGTTTTCTAATGACTTCCTACTACTCTCTGGTTTATTACATATTGTGTTAAATTAGATTTCTGTTTACAATTTCGATAACTTTTAATTTTTTTACAGAATAGTGATGAGTAGCAATTCTATTACTTTTGCCAATGGAGTGTTGATGCCTTTGATTGGATGTAAGTAAACTACCTCTAAACACTTGCTGAACAATTAGGATTGAATAATTTAACTCACAGGTTGTATTTTTATGAATTGCTTTAGTTTAACCTCAATTATTTCAGATGCATACAAGCCTTGAATATCATAAGAAACAGAAATCATGTCCAACCCTTAAGAACCTTGCATATACTCATACCTATTGATGTATCTTAGTGATCTATGAACTGAAGCAGTTTGAACAGGAAGTAATTTTTTATTCGGATGTTTTTGGCCTTATGTTGCTTGTCTTAAATCCAAGAATTAATTATTGGTACATATTGTTTAATCACAAGTTTGTACTATATTTGTTAATGTGTGCAGTGGGCACATATCAAATACACTCAAAAGAAGCCATATACAAGGTGCTGGAGGCAGGTCTGGCCAGCGGCTACCGTCTTATTGGTGAGATCAATGTCCTTGTCATGCATAATAATGAACCTATTCAATTAAAATTCAAATCATATTGCATGAGGAAATTATTTATGTAACAAAATATTGACATTTCTGTCCCAGAAATTAGAATTGTGAATTGAGAAATTTATTTGAAATGAATATGTCTGAAATTTAAATTACCTATATGATTAAAAACTACAACAACAATCTTGATATGCAAAATTTGAACCTCAAATAAAGTTGTTTGAATTTCCTATGTATTACTAGTTGCAGCTTATCTATTCTAGGAACACTCATTAAAATAATAGGCCTCTGTAAACTAATTGATATTCTAGTACTAGTACTATTCAATTCATTGAAGTTAATGATAGAAAAAAATGAAGCACCATAGAACAAATATGATGGTCAAAAAGGTAAAAAATAAGTAAAAATTGAATCTGAATTGTGTGTCATTTCTAGATACAGCATCAGGTTACCGCAACGAAGAACACATCGGCGCGGCCCTCCGTGACCTCCTGCCTAAATTTGGACTTAAAAGAGAAGATCTTTTCATCACTAGTAAAATTGGTATGCCATCATATTCAAAATGATAATCATTTAGCTGCATCATAAAATACGCCTCTCAAAATATTTCTATTGCCTGAAAAATCAGTGAGCACTGACGGCCTACAACTCTTTGATCCAATTAAGTTAAGATCTATTCGAGGTTACAAAAAAGTTTCTAAATTACTTATTTTTTCTCAGGACCATCATCTGCTGGCAATCACGCCTCAGTTGTGTCGTGCTGCCAAGCGTCGCTTCAGCACCTCGGAACAACCTACCTTGACCTCCTCCTCATACATTGGCCAGGTCACGGCATTTGTGGAAATTTAATGTTAACAATATCTAACAACACCATCAATTACAATGCAGTTCTGCATTGTAATTTCTGCATTCTGGAGCTGTGGTGGTGCAGTGGTGAGAGACTCAGTCTCTCGCACCCAGCTCCCGGGTTCGAGTCCCACTGAGGACAAGTTCTACCGGGAAGCTCAGCTCATGGTCAACTCAGCCATTCATCCGACTCTGGTTGATAAATGAGTACCTGGCTTGTCCAGGGTGTTGTGTAATGCAATCAAATGGTTCTGGCGGGTCAGCGAGCCAGTGATGGTCGTAGAACTACCAGTGGTACCGAGTGCCCGGAAAAACTGACCTATCACCCCCCCTCCCTAGTCGCCACTGCCAGGATGGGCAATTACAACAACAACAACAGTTCTGCAAAGTCGTGCATCAGTTGTGCATAGTTTATTTTTAGATACTGTGACCTCAAGTGCAACACAAATTTCAAATGATTAATTAAACTTGTCTAAAATTAGTGATTAATCAATTTTGATGTTAGGATCCACATATCTGTGACTAATTAAGGCACGGTATTTGAAAAAGATCTTCCTATAATGTTAATCTGCAAGCCAATCCTTAGCTATATTTAATGCTTCACTGCCAGTTGCACCAAATGAATGCTAAGTTATGAATACATATTAGTACGTACGGACAATCAGGATTCTTATTAGATTTTTTGTCACAGGTCTCCACAAAATAGCTGGCGAGGACCCTCGCAACAAGGCTGGTCGGCTGGTGACGTGGTCTGCTCTACAGGACCTCTACAGGAGCGGCGTCACAAGAGCCATCGGCGTCTCAAATTACGAGACCCGACACTGCCGTGAGATCCTCGACTCCGGCATCGTGCCTCACGTCAACCAGGTGCGTGCTGCTTCAGTTCATCGTCACTGCCGTGAGATCCTCGACTCCGGCGTCGTGCCTCACGTCAACCAGGTGCGTGCTGCTTCAGTTCATCGTCATAGGGTATAATCTGCTCATTAATTCACGATTCCAAGGAGTAACGACGTTTGTTAGTTGTCTTTACTTGCCTATAGCGTCTTCAACGGATTGCAGGTGAATATGCTTAAGTTTGTTTCGATATTGAATGAATTTGGCAACTTTCTTACTGGCCACAAAAAACTTGGAGAAAAGTTTGATGAGAGATGGTTTATTGCAAGCTAATGATTTTTCCTACTAACCAGTTCAACAATAGTACCGGTATTCGAGTTTAACTGATGACATCTTTTTGAAGCCCCTTTGAGAGAAAAGTTTTTTATTCTCTTGCTTAGTTATTATCGAGTTAATGGATCATTAATTTCTGCAACTCTTTACCCCTAACGACACTTCTTAACAGCACTAAATCTTATGCTTCATAATTGGAATAAAATTTCAAATCTTCCGACACTATCAAAATTCCTACTCACCTAATAACCTACTTTATAAGTTTCATTCTTCATCTTAACGCCTGTAATCATGCCATTCAGCAGGATAAATTAGTTGTATCTATACATAAAATCGTAGACCTTATAATTGATTTTGTCTCATGATGATTACTCCTTTTGCAAGTTCGCTCCTATGATGACTCCTACTTCTTGCATTTTCTTTCTACTTGCTTCCGGTTTTTCTTTACATTATTTTGTTTCTGGTGACTTTTCCAGTCTCCATAGTTTCCAGATTTTATTCGTTATTCTGCGAGATCTAAAAAGAGGCAATGCCAGCAACAGCATCATTTTTAGTGCCATTTTCTCATTTATGGATAAAATGCACTATTGTGCTCGCCATGTCCGTCCGTCTATCCGTCCGTCCGTGACTTCACGTTTTCGTCGACGAGCAAATGCGCTCTCTGTCACTCACTGCAGCGAGTATTGAGTTATATGTTTTTCTCTGAGCTAAGGATGTCCAATCGATGCATTTCATCTCAGACGAGATTCTCACGCTTGCCCTTCCTTTCAGGTGGAGCTACACCCGCACTACCCGCAGGAGTCGCTGCTGGAGTTCTGCAGGGAGCACGGCATCGCCGTCCAGGCCTACTGCTCCCTGGGCAGCCGCGACCACAAGGACAAACTGCTACAGGATCCTGCCGTCCTCAGCGTGACTGAGTCCTGCGCGGCGTCTCCTGCTCAGGTCCTACTGGTCTGGGCACTGCAGCAAAACATAGGCTAGTGTCCCGCCGTGCCATGAAAAACTGACTTATCAGAAGGACTCTGGACTCGAGGGATCCCTGCTTCTTCCTAGCCCTTTACGCCCTGAATTTCTGGGACAAAAATCGTAAAATTCACTTTTTCGGTTTTAAGTCTCACTTCGAAGCTGACATTCTGACCTATCCAATGGTACCAAAATCGTCTCTGTACGTTGATTTATGCCTTGACGACAGTTCGTGAAAGTGTTAGGGGTGGGGGAGTTCTTTCACATTTAATATAGGCGAAAATTACTGGTTGGGCACATAAATATGCAACCTGAAGACGCTGATCTTTAGTTACCCGGCTGCTGTCGTGTGGGATTTTGCTCATGCAGTCGTTCCCACTATCCTTGACTGAATTTCGGCTCCAGTAATGTCTAGTCTTGCATCCATGTCACCTTGAATGCCTATTTCGAGGCGCTCGGGACTTTGTTGCGCTCTACTGAACATTCACACTTATTGTCACTGCAAACCTATTTCTTCCTATTCAGGAATGAATTGTTATGGTCGTAAATATAACTACAGAGAAATCACTGCAACTATTAGTTTTTTTGCAAAAAAAAATCACTGCATGGTTTTATGCTCATTTCTTATAGTTTCAATACCTATTTACAGGTGTACTGCCGAAGTCCACCAACACTGACCACATCGCAGCCAACATCGCTGCCCGAGACCTCGTGCTCAGCAAGGAACAGTTCAGCCTCATCAACTCCATACAGACGCGCTACAAATACGCCTGGGACCCCAAGAATATTTACTAAATCTTTAGATCTCGACTTCAAAATTTTTTCACGTTCTCTTTGGATCATTCATTTCAGGTTAGTTTTGAGTTATCGCAATTATCCGCATATTTATAAAAATAATATTGCATTCTGGACTCCAAAATGTATTTGAACGCCACTACCAATGACAACTTCAAATCACCGCAGCAACTAACTGTGCAGTACTACCTATAACACAGCACACTCTAACCTGCTGTATATTTTAGCAATTCAATGTTGTATAAAGTTACTGCTGTATTTACGCTTATATTCTGGCCACGACATCTGCTATTCATGATTTATTTGTGTATTACATTCATTTGATAATATGACAGTTTCAAGTCTATAATTTTTGCATTATTTAAATTATAATTGATAAAAGTTCACTGGGAAATTTGTGAATTCCTCCCCATTAGACCCCATGTCGCTGTACAGCCTGCAACTGTACCCTGATCTGCAGCCCCGTATGGTAGACCCGCTCTGGTTCGACGTCGACCGTCCCGTCGACATGAACGCTGAGCTCAAGGTCGGCTTGTGATTATAAAGATACTTTCATTAAATTGGTAAACTTGCATTAATTTGTTATATTTTAGTCTAATACTTTCATTGATTTAATACTTGGATTAATTTGGTACATACTTGCATTCATATGGTATATTTTTCTTAATTCATCGCTACCATCGTCAGTAAGATATGCTCATGTTAAGCAGGAAAAGTGAATTAAATTTTTTAATCACCGAGTTTGTGTTGTTTATTCGTTTAACGGCTGTAGTTACTGTTTATTTGGCTTCTTCACTCACTCATAGAAGACGTTGCATCTTTAGTTAGTACAAAATACTTAATCACCGCCCTGCAGCTACACTTTCATTCGATTTTTATTAATTTGTTTCGACTCTTAATTTGTCTATTTAATTTACCCCGACCTTCCTTTCACTCTTAATTATTCTGTCTCTATTTTCCGTGTCTCTAGTCAACTTGAATCCACTTCAACTGCTTATTTTAATTAATTTGCTTCTGCTTTACGACAAATCTCATTAATTTACCTTTTCTTTTCTAGAGTTTTCGTTAATTTTACTCTGCATTTTATGCACATTAACAACTAATTTTGATTTTGTTTCCAATGTTTCTGTTAAATTACAATACTAATTTTGATCTCGTTTCCAATGTTTCTGTAAATTACAATACTAAATTTTACCTCTTTTGCAATGTTTCTGTTAAATTACAATACTAAATTTGATCTCGTTTGCAATATTTCTGTTAAAATTGCGATACTAATTTTGATCTCGTTTGCAATTTTTCTGTTGAATTGCAATTAAGTTGTATTAAATTGCGTAGACTTTTGCAGTAATTAAGAGTGGATGTCGTGCAGGAGCTGGAGCAGCAAGAGAAGGGCCGCCTGCTGGCTATACAACAACACGGCAAAGACATCCTCCCCATCGGCAAGGCTACTCACGATAACAGTGATGACGATGATGACGATGCCAATGATGATGACTACGATGACGATGATAATGTCGATGATGAAGAAGAGGATGATGACTCAGAAATGAATGATGATTATTCAGAGGCTATTGAATGAGCTTCGCGTTATTGATGGTGTGTAAGGTTTTACCCAATGAAAGAAACTCTTTTGTTCTGCTAAGATTATTTTGTTTTTGTAGCAAAGTGAAGCTCCCATCTGCATTTCCGTTGGAGTTATCGTGCCTTTTTCTTCTCTTTATCGTAGTCGTAGTCTGATTCATGGAACGGTATCTTAAGATTGAAATCATCAGAGCATTAATTGAATTTTCCATTGAGCTGTCCCCAAAGAGTAAACGTTTTATCAAAATTTTTGCTCTATTTTGTTACAAATGTGAATGGAACTAAATTCTTGAATATTAAATGATTATAACTTGTATTCGAGGCTATGGCTTTGTTAATAAATCTCTGATAAAACGTTGAGTTTAACAAATCAAGCGATGGTGCAGTACTCCGCGGACTTTGCCCGCCGCGTGGCCGCTCTTTGTTGTGCCAAGTTCGACGATCTGCCGAAGTCCGGCAAGCCACAGCCGAGGGAGTGGACCGTCTTGGCGGGGGTTGTGCAGTGCATTGAAACTTCAATGAGCAGTCGACGGGTAGGAAGTAAACACGCAGGAAATTATGCATTCAGTGAGCTTGACATCCATGATGCATGTCATGCTCGAAAAGATCAAGATACTGCAACAATAAGCTTTCAATGTGCTAACCTTTCACTGGAGCCCAGCTTGCAAGAAAGGAATGAGAAACGTTCGTTCGATGTGCTTGAAATGAGTGATGAGGAAAGTGATGCGAACCTTGTACAAATTTATGACAAATGCGAAGTTTCAAGTAGAACTTCCTGTGATAAAAGAGACGGTGTCACCTTTTTTCCGTCAACAAACGATGCACCTCACACTTGGTCAAGGAAGCCAGCCCAACACGAGAGTTACACATCTGGTAATGGTTGCCAATATTCTGGTGACGCCGAAGCATGCATGGGTGAGAACTCTCGTGGTGATGTTGGGTGCGGCAACCATGACTTGCATTTGTCCGTGGTCGCCCTGGGCACGGGCACGAAATGCTTGGGAGACTCCAAGTGGTGTGAGCTGGGCACTCGTATACACGACAGTCACGCAGAGGTGGTCGCCAAACGCTCCTTCCAGAGGTACCTCATGGACCAAGCTCAAGTTCAACTTAGTGGCCAACCGTCGATTTTTGAAACGATTATTTCTGCCCACGGCCCGAAACTGAAGCTTAGGAAAGCAATCACTTTCCATTTGTACGTGTCGTTCACACCATGTGGAGATGGCTCCATATTTCCTCAGCAATGGTCAACATATCCAGGGAGTTCGAATGGTTCAATGACTCATCACATGAATCCGCCTGAATCAGACAAAAACGGTTGTTATGAACCCTCTTTGAAAAGAATCAGGATCGACGATTGTTTAGGCCCCGTAGCCGAATGTGATATCCGAATGCAAGAAAACAATCCAACTCATTTAAATTACCATGATATTCAGTCTCATTTTGAATGCGATAATTCAATGGATACTTCTACACAAACGGACATAAGCTTGGATACAAACCGCACCGGGGCCAAATGCGCTCCAGGCGAAGCCTTGGACCCGAAAGCCCCAGGTTCCCTGTACCACAGGCACGGCGTTCTACGTACCAAGCCTGGACGTGGACCTTTTTCTTCCTCGCACTGTTGTAGTGATAAACTTTTTCGCTGGAGTGTCCTTGGGGCTCAGGGCTGCCTATTGATGGGGATACTGCAGTGTCCTGTCTACTTTGAATCCATCACATTCGGCGCATGTCCCTTCAATTACGACGCAATCAACCGTGCTTTGCACACAAGGTTTTTACCGCAGATAGAGACACTCAGTTTGCCCGATGGTTTTAGGTATCATCAATACGTTATTCTGAAAACTGATTACGCTTTTAAACATTCCTGTGAGGAATCTGAGAAACGTGTCGGGATTGGAAAATCAGTTCCCGTCGCATCGTCTGTTTGTTGGTATGCCGGATCTGGAAATGAAACGACATCTAACGTCATCGTTGAAGGCAGAAAACAAGGAGTAACCAAGCTTAATCTTCTAACGAAGAAGGGTCAAGTATTAGTGTGCCGCGCTCAGATGCTTGAAAAAATACTTCAGTTGCACCAACTCAGGTACAAAAACTTGGCAGATTCCAACGAAATTATTTCTCGTGGTATGGTCGAGTTGAGAAGTTTGGAGTACCGCCAGCTGAAGGAGCGGTCCGATTCTTACTGCGAGTCTTGGCGGCTTTTGAAATCTACAGTACTTCGCAACTGGACGTCGAAGAGAGATAATCTCCAGAGATTTCGCGTCAACTGAAATAGTTAATATTTGTAATTGCGTCAGGTTGCGCCAGCAAACCGTGCGAGTGATTTATAGCTCTTGGTGAAGCCAAGTCCAAGAGAAGCTAAGCTACTGTCAGGTATCAAATATTGACCAAAAATTTCAACCGAAGAGTTGATGTATAATAATAAGGCTTTTGTGCTCATTTTTCCCACTATCTGACTGTGTGAATGTTTATAACTATTAATGCCTGTATTATGTTATTTTAGGAACAAGAATATCAAAGTGATTGCATCTTATTATGATATATACGTACACATGATTCACTTGATTATAATAATAATAATAATAATAATAATAATAGCGGTTTCAGCGTTTATTAGGCCGTAGGCCTGTCGACGATTCTTAACATCGTAGAACATTCACAGCATTTTGCGGTCTCGAACTCGCAACTCACTGCTTCAAATTTGCTTTACTTAACCGCCCGGCCCCTTCGCCGATTCTGACCAGAAACTAGCGCACAGAGCTGGGATCGAACCCGCGACTCTCTGCGCCAATCCTGGTACTCTGAACTTGAACCACTGGGCCACCCCGCCCCTCCACTGGGCCACCACAGGGCCTGCTAATTTACGATATCGATAAATCCTTGTGTTGATGGGTGACAAACAAAAGATTTATTTGGAAATGCCGCCTATCAGCCACCTGTTGTCAAATATAAACGAATGTGTGGTTTTAATGATTATTTTTTTATTATTCAAGAAATTTGCCGAAATTTGCAGTAATTTTTTCACTATCCTACTCCAGTATACGTGCGGCATCCAATCACGTTACTATTGATTAATCAGGAAAAAAGTAAAAAAAGTTGGTATGTATCATCTCGCTTTGTAGTTCTCTGTAACATTCTAGAAGAAGTTGGTTTTTGACCAAAGAATTTGATTTTCATAAAGAAATTGAAATGGTCAGTTTGACTGAGAAATTTCAACAGATGGATAACACGAGTTCAATAATTTCAAGGTAAATCTCCGCGCAGGTCCTTGATCATCATTCAAGTGACTGAAACAGCGTTAAGTCATTTAATTATTTAGTTTCATGTAAGCTACCTTATTTTACCATCGCCTTTGAAATTTCATCATCTGTGTCTGTTTACTTATGCCGCGTAATGCAGAATGTCAGTCGCTCTGAACAGTGAATTCGGCATCTGTAGCTCTCTTGCTATTCAATTTATTTCGTCATTGCTTAAATTTTCAATCAAAATTGAATTCGATTCGATTTCTTCAAAGGTAAATGATCATTTTAATTTCTTTTTAAAACGAATTTTGCAGGCTTGTGACGAGTCATTCATAATTACCGCCCTTTAGACATCGGCTCATAACGAAGGTTGATCAAGCTTGTACATGTTGTGATAGGCCCGAGTTACGTAGCAGCACTGGTGATTACCAAACTCGTAACTTTGTCAGCCAGACAATGACGCCTTTATACTTCAACCTACCAATCACATAAGAAAAATCTGCCGCCGCGTGTTCTAAGGACGCCCCGTGTAATGGAGCAAGTTTTTATATTAGTACGGCCCGCGTCGATCTAAACATCCCGTGGATCCAGCCCAAGCAACCAATGCCAGATTTTTTGCATCTCAGTCGATTGAAGAATATATTAGAAAAACGAAACTATGCAATTTGGACGAAATTACATATTTCAAATAGTTCTTAACTTAGTGTTGACTGATTGTAAATTCACTGTACAGTGTTTTGAATTTACTGAACTACTGTTCGAGTTGTGTTTAAGTACTGAATATGTCAATTCAGGCTTGAAGTTCAACAGAAAATTGTGTATTAATCATATCATTTTGGTTAGTAGTTACTTGTTAGTAAAGAGTCCTGCTATGCGCCAAACTTGTGGTTGCAGTCATTCCTGAAGGTCTAACCTGGGGCACTGGGCGTGACAGCCTCGAGAATCTTCAGGCCATGGGTGAAATGTAGCACTTCTTGCTTTCATAGTAAGCGAATAATCCTGAACCCATACCTAGTGCATGAGTAACTCCCTTTTTCAGTTACACTCTGTTGAGCGTGAGAACAGTATTTATGATTGGTTGGTTAATAGTCACAAGCTTTATTTGCACTTAGTTTACAAAACTCATCTGTTGTTATTTGTGCGTCACTTTTGTCCCATTGTTCACCATGAAGCAGTTGTTTGTTGCTGTTTCCAAACCTAGAGTTTGGAAACGTCGTATGGTCACCGAAATTCGAAAAGGACAGAAATTTAGTAGAGAGTGTTCAAAGACGCGCAACAAGAATAGTTCCGGGCTTGAAAGGCAAGTCCTATGAGGAAAGATTAAAGATTATGAAGCTTCCAAGCCTCAGTTATCGACGTCTGCGTGGGGACCTCATTTCACCTTTTTTGAATAATGGTGTCACTTGAGCTTCTTTCCAGTCAGCCGGCAAAATTCCTTCGTTCAAAGTTTTTCGAAAAAGTGACGTCAGAGGGCCGGCTAGGACAGTTGCTAACTCTTTGAGTAATCTGGGGTGGTATTTTTTTTATTTGATGTAGCTTATTCAGTAAATTAATGTATTGTAATTGATGGGTTGTTTACAATTTTCTTGAGTTGTTTAAGCCCTTACAACATGTCACATTGTGTCGATTGTGATTCCTGAAAATATCCCATGAGCCACCTATGAGACATTCCTCTGGCTGGTTGTGTCACTCGTGTGATCTGATCAGTTTCTCACTCATGTAATGAAAAATTTGTATACCAAATTCTGAGCACTCTGCACGATATCGATAGTGAATAGTGCACATCAGCACATGTAGGTACATAGGCTAAACTGATAAACATTATATTATTGTAGCCCAGTTTCAGTTTGTAGGCAACCTTATTTCAACATTACCATATGTGTTTAGGTTCAAGTTATTTTGCTGCAGGGATAATGAGAGATTGAAATTGAGAGACTAAGGTCTAAGAATTTTTTCCATGTTAAATGTAGTAGAGGCTAGAGCCTAGGAAAATTAAGTAGATGCTTTTCTTTTGTAGTTGAGAACTTGAGACTTGATACTAAGGAACAAAATATGAGAATCTGCCACTGGATCTTTGGTTGGTTAGTGGTTACTTGGTAAGTTGGTGTTGTTCGTTTTCCCAGAAAATGAACAAGCAACAAGATTGTGTTATTTGTCATACTGAAAGCTTTTCTGCTTTTTGAAAACTTATGTGTAAAGGGCCCAATTTGGAATATGGGGCAGAATTTATGTAGAATTGTAGGTAAACAGTGTAAACCTCTCATGTTCAGCTACTCTGACCTCTTTTAATTTTGATTTAAATTGCAATGTAGAGTTTTACTGTTTACCCATTGTGATTGTGCTTTCCCATGGCCGATCTTCCCACGGACCAGCCTTGCTGTCTCATCACGAGACTTGTGAGTCGTGACCACTGACCTTCCTTGCTGTCTCATCATGACACTTGGAGACCACCGACCTGCCTTGCTGTCTCATCATGACACTTGGAGACCACTGACCTGCCCCGCTGTTTCGTCACAACACTCAAGACCACAGACCTCCCTTGCTGTCTCGTCACAACACTCAAGACCACAGACCTGCCCTGCTGTCTCGTCACAACACTCAAGACCACAGACCTGCCTTGCTGTCTCGTCACAACATTCAAGACCACAGACCTGCCCCGCTGTCTCGTCACAACATTCAAGACCACAGACCTGCCCCGCTGTCTTGTCACAACACTCAAGACCACCGACCTGCCCCGCTGTCTTGTCACAACACTCAAGACCACCGACCTGCCTTGTTGTATTGTCAGAGTTTTGTTAAAAATTTCCCAATTTCTTGGATTGTAACACTCATTGTGGGCTAGGGTGAGAAGATGAATACAAATGAAGGCTATGTTGCATAAGAATTGCACAAGTAATGTGATTGAAAATTGCATAAATAAAGAAATTGAGCCAAAAAACAAAAATTAAATTTATAGATTTATTCATGATCTGATCTTAATGATAAGACAATCTTTGATAGAGATAAGACTCAACTTATATTTCATATTATTTCACAATACTTTATTAACAGTGCTTCATTTCAAGATTATAGTTTTTTATTAGCATTGGTAAATATGTGAATTTGGCAACTTCCAGCACTGATGTTCAACCTGGAGCAATAAATGCATATCTGTTTGAACAACAATAATTTAAAATTAGATTGGTAGTTTTCAGTTGGTTTGGACATAGTCAGCCAGAGGTTACTAGACTAGCATACACCACCATGCAGCACGCTCAGTGAAGCACTATTTATTAAGGCACTACATATGTTAAAATTTGTCTGAAAATAGAGTTGCGATTAACATGGAAAAATGGCAATTTGTTGCATACTGCAGGTAGACAGTGGAATGAGGCGAGGGTACGCAGTTTCCTTGTTCTCCCTAAAAGTTTTGGAACCATTGCTGTTGGCATGTACTATGAAGCTGTGAAATTGACTTGATATGGCTGATTATAGTTGATAGATTTTGCCTAACATCATTGAAATGCTCGCTTCTCAGTGACACGAGCTCGTTGTTCTCAGTGGCTTGTTGTTCTCAGTGGCTCGCGCTCATTGTTCTCATTGTCACGCGCTCGTTGTTCTCAGTGACGCGCGCTCGTTGTTCTCATTGTCACGCGCTCGTTGTTCTCAGTGACTCGTTGTTCTCAGTGACACGCGCTTGAATAAAGTAGGTAATATTGACAGTAGGTAATATTGAACATGTATTATGCATAGATGCTAAGAATGCGGGCCGTTATTGCGAGACCGTGGGAAAGGTTGTTTACATTGAAAGGTTGGCGCTCAGCGTTGCGAGGGACATTCCATTCGAAGGATGACTCGTTGTTCTCAGTGACACGCGCTCGTTGTTCTCAGTGACTCGTTGTTCTCACTGACTCGTTGTCATTGACACGCGCTCGTTGTTCTCAGTGACTCGTTGTTCTCAGTGGCACGCGCTCGTTGTTCTCAGTGGAACTAATAACAAGCCTTCACCGGCCAAACGCGCTCGGCCGGCGCTCTGCATGATCAAATTGCAATATTTATTTAACTTATGATACAAATGATTGCACTTTATGAAACTCTGTGATATTTATTATCAATAATATTTATGAAACGTGTGCCGGTGTTCTTAATTGAACCGCCTAGCGACCGAGAAAGACTTCTCGTTTTGTTCAGTTCGCGGGGCACTAGCACAAGTCTAAAGTTTGTTAACGTATTTAATATGTAAGGCTTTACCTTCAATTTTTCGTAATAAGCCTCGTTCCTTGTGAAAGTTATTTCTATAATATTGAACCCTTGTTTCAGTTTTACTTCATTAAAAAATTAAATTCGCTATGCGCTTCTTTTCTAGAACCAAATGTTTGGCAGTAATACAATATTTATATTACTATACTATATTTACTAAACTATATTTATATTAAATAACACTATATTGGCAGTAATACTATATCTCTGGTCGCATTGCGACCAGAGATCTGATGGCAATTTGTTCGCAGTCCTTAGCCTCTCGGAATGGCAGTGGCTGCAGTCCTTAGCCTCTCGTAATGGCAGTGGCTGCAGTCCTTAGCCTCTCNAAAGGCCGGATCCCTTGTGAATCAAGTCACGAAAAGTTCAAGAATCGGCAACAGGCCATGGGCCTATTTCTTCAGCGCCGACACTTCTATTCTATTCTAATGCTTCTGTCTGTTCGTGAGTGCGGTCCGCACGTGCGCTTCCGTAAAGCTGTAACAGCTTTGTGTCAGCTGATGCGCTCGGAAGTGCCAAGTGGAAGTGGGGGTGTATGAAAATTTTCCATTTGCAAATTTAAGTTTCCTTTATACGCTACTAATGTGATCAATAATGAAATCATTGTAAGTAAATTAGTGTCATGCGTTTACCAATGACCGAGTGTAATGAATCAAATAGCTTTCAAAATAATTCTGTATTTGTTAGTTACTAGTTAGTTATCTTCGGCATTGAAGAATAGGACCGGAAGTCTGGAATAATACACTGGATAGGTCTGTCGCCGATTCTTGTACTTTTCTTGACTAGTTTGCAGATTCAATAATGTTTAATCGTAATTGTTTGAGTCAATGTCTTTACTTCTAAAATTTTGAATTGTCAACGTTACGACGTAATACGACATTTAGAATAGAATAGAAGTGTCGGACTGTCGGCGCTGAAGAAATAGGCCCATGCCATGGGCCATGGCGGCATGCATAGTGGCAAACCAGAGCTTTTTTAGAATCAGTTCATTTTTAATTTCCTCATTTACTAAAGATTTAAACCAATTTCTTAAGTATGATAATTCTGGTATCCATGATACCGTAAAATGGGGTAACTTAGACCACTTTTTTTTTATAAATGATGCCATTTTTTTACTAGCTAAAATAAACTTGAATTGAAACATGCAAAATACAGGTCTATACTCTAGCTTCACTCACCATAAATTGCTGGCTCCTGCCTCTCATAGTCTTTATG